CTTACTACCTCAATCCACCTTCCCTGCACCCAGCTCGGTGATCAAGTGGGAAAGTGTTGGTAGCCATCAGTGAGTCCATCAGGCTTGGGAGCCATGCGTTAAGAGGCAGTGAAAAGGTTGTTTCAGCAAAGTTGGATAATTATAAAGGACTCAGTGGGAGGACTGCTCTGTGTTTTATGGTAAACACACTGGAGAAGCCAGAGGGCCCTTGTGTTGGAGCCTTAATTCAGAGCCAGAGTGTACATAGATATGGGACCCTCGGGCCTCCCCTACTTGGGAACGAACATGGTTGGGATTTTCTAATGGCTTTCAGGCACTTTTGTTGGGTTATGGCACAGCCTTTTCTTCCATGCCACCTTCCAGGGATCTTCAGCCCTGTGAGGACTTTCTTACAGGGGAAAGCTTGGTATCCCTATGTCTGCGGGTCCTGTGTGGGGATGGCCTTTACCCCAACAGATCACCCTTAGGGTTTTGAAGTTACCAATTGGTCACTTAACAGTAATAAGGAGTTTCATTTCTCATCGTTTTTCAAGGTGGGTATCCCCAGTGTTCAGAACCCAGGAGTGCCAGGGATTGATTATATCTACAGTGGGACCTTTGGCACCTTATAGCAGCCACAGGTGAAGTACAGCTGAAAGCCCTTGTCATTCAACCAGAAAAGTTTCCTGTTGGGAGCTGCAAGAAGGTAGAAAACTGATCAAATGTGTGCAGGTGGGACTGGGCCTCAGTTCCTAAGGCAAACAAGCTACGTCACTCCGTTTGGTTAGGGTCAGCTATTAGTCACTAGGCAACCTTGTCACATTTGTTACAAACTTTGCAAAAGGATAAATAAACCCTAAGTTTTGTTGTGGAGCCAGTTAGTCTTGGCCATCAGGCAGACTAGCAACCACCCAGAACATCTTTTGCCTTGTCATCTGTCTCTTTTCATTCCTGCTCATGTTTCTCCCAATTGCAGGGAGACCATCAGATCCCTAAGTTTCCTGTCGTGGTGTGTGTTAGGCCTCCCTTCATACTGATGCATGATGAAATGCTGCTGCTCTCCTTCAGTTTAACAGACTCGACTCCTTTTTCTATAATTTAAAGTGCTCAGGATGTACTCTTACTAATGTATATCCTGGCTGCACCTGGGCACTATTGTTTTACTGCTTGACCAGCTCCACTGTATTGTCACTCCTGTCCCCCTAAAAAAAAACCTGGTATAAAAACTGCTGTACATGTATTATCAAAGTTATATAAGGCTCTGTCTAGACCCAAATGCTCTGTGGAACTCTTGGTTACAGGTATAACTGCTGTGATTGGAATCCTGGGAGCAACGGCTGATGCAGGTTCAGAAGCAAAAATTTCACAATTTGTGATTTAGCACACAATGTACCCTTAGCCCTTATGGCTCAGGAACGTATAGTTCAAAAGCTAGAGGCCAGGGTGGTGCCTTGGAAGAAGCTGTGTTATATTTAAGAAGGGAAGTACAAGCTTTGCATCTTAGCCTGTGCCTGCACCGTCATGGAGCTTATCGACTAATTTGTGTCACTCCTGCTTTGTACACACGCCAGATATGAATGGGAAATGACCCAGGCCCCCACTATGGGGGTGCGGCACTGTTCTGATGTGGGTTTGGATCTAACTCACTTACATAAAGAAATTGTGACTGTAAGTTCTGCACATGATCCCACTGCTGAGGTTTCCGCTTTGACATTAAATATTTTTTAGAAAGATTCAAAATACGCTTCCCCTGCATGGCTTACAGTCTTGACTCTTGTCTTTGATAATTCCAGCTATCTTATTATTGCTTACGCTTTGTATTTTTCCAAGAATCGTTGGATGGGCCCAAAGGAAGCTGCGTAAGCTCTGGGTTGCCTTCCACAAACAACAATTAAAAAATAAACGAGGGGGAGATGGTGGAGGCCAGATGAGAAGGTCTGACCTTGCTGAAGTAACACTCTGATGAGGAGATAAACTGTGGCAACGTGCCCAGCTCCCTTCTCCACAGTTTGGGCAGTAGGCACAACAGTGCACTCAGTGTTTCTTCTGTTTGTCAGAATAGTTTCCTGGGAAACTATTTCCCAGGAAAATATTCTGACCCCAGAAAAATAAAAAAGCTGGGAGTTAAGAAGGACAAATGTTGGACAAAGGATCAAAATTTTCTGCATATAAGCTTGAAGCAAAATAAATTTATGGCTGGACCAGTAGTCCAGATCTCCTGACCCTGGCTTTTTTCTTTCCATTCCATCCTCCCTCTACCCTGATCCCCTCTGCTCCCTGTATGAATCCACTGCCAGAAGACTTTCATTCCCACAATGACAACAAAAACTATTCCTTCAAGAGTCACC